GTGACGCCGCTGGGTCCTCGCACCACTCGGAGTACTCCTCGAAGACCTTCTGCGACTCCTCCCCCTCGCCCACGACCTTCGTCTGCAAGTCCGAGATGAGCTGCAGCACCTTGCCGACTGGGCTGACCTTTCCGAGGAAGCATGAAGAGACATCGATATGCCTCGCCTGCACGCAGGATCGACCCTGGACACGAGTGGCCTTTGGTGGTGCGCGGCTTCTGGTGGCTGCGCAGGGCTCAGATATCCCAGCGCACGGGCCAGCGCTCTGCGGGGAGCCCTCGCGAGCCTGCACCGACAGCGACTCCGGCGAAGGGCCACTCGCACGTGCAGCCGAACACAGCTACTGAAGATGGTCACAAAAATTCACAATAATGATAAGAAGAAGAAGACGAGTACTGATGATAATAACAATAATAACACTAATAATATATAAAAGATAGAGAAATAGAGAGAGAGAGAACAAAATCCAAAAAAAAACGCCCCCAGACTATGCTTTGCCTATTCTTGGGAATGCTCCTCCCGCAGAGGCAAGGGCCCGACGGAAGGCTGCTCCCCGGAGCTCTCCGGGGGCGCACTCCGACTCCGACTCCCCGCCGTGGCGCCGAGGGCCCCCCGCGGAGCGCCCCGAGGTGCGCCTGGCTGCCTGGCCCCCCCTCCCGCTCTCTCGCCCTCCGCGCGCCGCTGCGCCTGCTCCTCGGCTCGGAGCTCGGGCCTCCGGCCCCCCTTGCTCGGGACGCTCCGGGCACTCCTCGGAACGCCCTCGGCCAGGCGCCGCTGCCGGATCCCACCCCGAGGCTGGCGCAAGCCGCCGCAGCTCCAGAGGGCCTCGAGCCGCGGATCTCCCCGAGAGCCTCAGGGCCTCGAGAGCCTCGGAGCCCTGAAAGACAGGGAGCCTCGAGCCTCGGAGCGAGCGCCGAGAGAGCCCCGGCCTCGAACCGCCTCGGCTCGAGAAGGCCGAAGGCGAGAGAGGCGCATCGGCATCGGTGTGGTTTCCTGCTCTCGGCCTCGTCGGCGGCGGCGGCGCGGGCGGTCGCGAGCACCAGGAGCGCGGCGGCCTTCATTGCTGCGGGAGGGGCGAGGCGGCAGAGTCTCACCTGGCAGGGCTCGGTGGCAACTCACGGGAGCCTCCCATGCCATCTTGCCGGCTCTTGCGAGTCGACGCTGGTCGACGCTAATCGACGCTGAGCCGACGCTACACCGAGGCTAGTCGACGCTGACCGACGCTAAATCGGCGCTACCTCATCGACTCCCAGACGCTCATCGACGCTAATCGACGAGCAAGACGGAATTACGAGGGCACACCAGGGTCCCATGACTTGCTGCCGAAGCAGGGGGGCGTGGCTGAGTCCGTGCTCGAGCTTCTGCGGGACGGACGGGCGCAGAGGGAGCGGCCCGGAGATCCTGGCATCGCGTTTTGCTCACAACGGGCGTGACCGCCCAGCTTGGGGCCACGGGACGATCGCGCACGTCGATCTGGCTCGAAACATGGCGGAGAATTACTGGTCTAGGGCGCTGGTCGTGATATCTTGCGATGCTGTCGTCAACTGTTTCGCAACGGCGGATCTCAGGGGAGCGCGAGGGAGAGAGGGGAGATGGCGGAGGGGAGGGCAAGACCAAAGCACAGGGTGCAGCTCGGCGGCGAGCGAGGGGGGGAAAGGAGGAGAAGGCCTTCTCCGAAGGCTCGGAAGTCTCCCGGCCTTCTGAGGAGTTTGCTAAACCTTCCCCGAAGACAAAAAAAAAAATATCAGAAGGCGCGAGGGCTTCCGAGAAGTCCCGCCGCCTTCTGGGAAAGCCTTCTCCTTCTCATTTCCCCGTCGCTCGCCGCCGAGCAACGAATAGATGAAAGGAAAAACGCACAAGCGTAGACTTTCGGAGGTCCACAGGGGTCTCTTATGTCGGCGCTGAACCCCGCCGCCAGGGGGGTCCAGCGCCGATCCAAGAAACACGCGCGGACCTCCAAAAGTTGGTTCCCCAAACAGTGCTTGCACTCAGAGGTTCTCACCTAGGTCACAAAGGAACTGGATTGGTCCAGCAACAACTTTCCACGTTGCCGCCCGTGGCCGCCGCGTGGCCGCCTCTAGCTTGCACAACGTGGACTGCACCACATAGTTTACACCTCATACAGCAGGTTCATGTCGTGCGGACCCCGGCGTTGGTTCCTGACACCGCGGGGATCGTTCAACCTTGAACGATCGGCAGTTTCCGAAACGTCAGATCCTTCAACGTCGATCGATTCTGTGTCGCCGGCGGCGTTCAACGTTGAACGCCAGCGGCGGGGTCACCGCCAGTCGACACGACGCAAACCTACCGTAGCTTGCACCACATAGCTTACACAACCACATTGAAAGAAGTTGCTCCTTGGATCCACGCTGGCCCTATTTTATATGTATGCGTTTCTCTTCGAAGGGTGCACTAATGACACTGCCGCACGCCTTCCTCTTTGCAAGCCCCCCCCTTGCAAGCCACCAAGAACCAGTCCACCTCAATCGAGCGAGAGCCCTGGTGTGAAGAAGATCCGCGCTCCGTCTTTCTCGTAACAGGAAATGCCAATAAACAAGGTCATACCGATCAATGAGAGACCTGGGCCGGCACGGAAACGGAAAGAGCGCCTCAGAAACTGCCCCGAGAGGGCTCATGGCACCATTCGCTCTTGGGAGCCTTGGTGTGAAGAGCTTGTTACGTCGCCGCTCTCCCTTGGAAGCCCTGGTGTTCAGAGACTATTATGTTGCCGCTCGCTCTTGGGAGCCTTGGTGTGACGAGCTTTGTACGTCACCGCGCTCTGGGGAGCCTTGGTGTCAAGAGCCTGTTACGTCACCGCGCGCTGATGAGAACATGGTGTTCTGGAGCGTCTCTTGAGCCTCGTCGGGGTCTTCTTGGGGCCTTTATGGAGCCCCTCGGGATCCCTTTTGGGGCAATTCTGGGCCGTCTTGGGGCCCTTTGAGGCCGTCTAGGGGCGTCTTGGAAGCCTTTGGACATCTTGGCGCTCTCTTGGGGGCCTCTTGGGGCCCTCTTTTGGAGCCTCTTTGGGCCTCTTGGGGCTCTCTTGGGGCCGTATTGGGGCTCTCTTTGGGCCGTCTTGGGGCCATCTGGGGCTGTTTGGGGCCCTCTTGGGTCGTCTGGGAGCCCTCTTTGACCGTCTTCCGCCTCTTTGGGGGGCCTATGGGGCCATCGTGGGACGAGCTTTGGGACCTCATGGCCATGTTGGGCCCGTCTGGGCCCGAAAAGGCGAGGATCCGAAAAACCTTCAAAAACCTTAAGGAAATCCATGTTTTGTGGGCTCCTGAGGCCCTCTCGAGGGCCCTCTGGAGGGTCTCTGGAGGCGTCTCGAGGCTCTCTTGGACCGTCTGGAGGCCATCTGGAGCTCTCTTAGGGCAATCTGTTGTTTCGTTTCTTCTCCCACGAGGTCACCATTGGAGGCAGCAGTCCTGGAATAGCCCAGCGTGTTCAGTGGCGAGAAAAATCCCTACATTGGACACAACCTTGTGACACACCTGACCAAAAAATGTGGTGCCTTGCAGATCATCCTCCCGTTCATGTTAATCCTTCTCCTCCTCATCCTCCTGCGCATCCGCCCCCCCCACACCCTCCTCGCTCTCTTAGGGCAATATTTGGGTCGTTGTGGTGCCCTCGTGGGCCGTCTTGGGGCCCTTGAGCTGCTTCACTCGGAAAAATACGAGGAAACGGGCCGTGGAAGGCGCCCGCGAGCCGCTTCACTCGAAATACTATAAGAGAAACGGCCCTCGGGCGGCATTAACAACCAAACACGCGGCCCTCGCCCCTCCCCTGGACCCCTCCCTAGAGGGCATCGCCCCAGCATAACGTCATCACTCGTACCTCGCTCTTTCCGTTATCTGGCGAGATCCCCATATTTCAAAAAAGAAAGGCTATCCATCTTTGCGTTGCACAAGGTCGAGTTTGATGCAACTGGGTGAAGAAAACCTTGAGATCGCTACTTTGAAAGGAAGTCGTCCTCCACCCGTGCACGTGTTGCGCAAGCAGAACCTGACGGCCATGAAAATCGGAAAAACCTTCAATAATCAGAGGTTTTGAACCAAGCCTCCTCCATCCGTGCACGCGCAGGGCACATTGAAACGAAATTGCGCAGCCCTACAGCGAGAGCCACACATTGACAACTAGCAGCCCTCTATCCAATCAACTTTCGGGAGATTCTCAGACGATTATGCGCGGCGCTACGGCGAGAGCAACTTAATTGGCAACAGCCCGCCCTCCATCCGTGGCGCCAAGGCGAAAACGACGTTTTGAAAACCAGCCGCCATCCGCACAACTGCTGGAAACCAAGCGTCGGGGCCATCAAAAACGACAAGGCCTCGAGGATCGTCTGACCTGGGTCAATCCAGACCCGGGTCAGCAGGAAACCAAAAAACTGCAATGCCGATCTTCGCAAACCCGGGTCAGCCAATATGCACGGCCGCTTCGCAGCCACGAGCGGCTCGCTAACCCGGGTCAGCCAGAAGGGGTCTTCGCAGGATCCTGCAGGATCTGTTGCCCTGGCTGACCCCCGTTTACATTGACCCCCGCCTCTTGAGCCCCGAAGGCCCAGGCGAAAATCCTGGCCGGCCCCACCAACACGTCTGGTGGTCCGACGAGCCAGAATTCTCGGACGAGGAGGCATAGAGGACTGGGGGGAGGGTGGGAGGTGAGAGGTGGGAGGGGGAGACGGGGAGCCGAAGGGGACGGCGAGGGGGGAGGGGAGCGGATGGGGAAGGAGGGAGAGGGCAGGCCAGCGGGAGGGAGGGGTGCAGGAGCGGATAAGCAGGAGGGATGGGGATACCTCCCTCCCTCCCTCCCTCCCTCCCGCCTCCTCCTCCTCCTCCTCCTCCCCGACCTCCTCCTCCTCTTCCTCCTCCTCCTCCTCCTCCTCCTCCTCCTCCTCCTCCTCCTCCTCCTCCTCCTCCTCCTCCTCCTCCTCCTCCTCCTCCTCCTCCTCCTCCTCGAGAGAGAGAGAGAGAGACACTGCACCACCCTCATTCCTGGCAAATCTGGGCTCCAAAGACAGGACCGGATGATGAACGCAACCCCACTGGCAAACGGATTAGGACCCTTCTTCCCCAGCTCCGCTGCCCAGGAAGGGCAACTTATGAGATTACCCACATTTACCCTTCCCCACGCAGGGTTGGCCAGGGGGGGTCGAGAAAAACTCGAGTGGTTGAAAAGGGGAACGGGTTTCCCGCAAGCTGGCGGTTACCCCCAGGGGGTGGGTTCAAGAGAAATCGCAGGTGGGTGAAAGGCGAACGGATTTCCCGAAGTTGGCGGCGGCCCCCTAGGTGGGTCACTTCGTAAATCAGCACCGTACATCAGCTCAGATTCCACGATGCATGTTCGCCAGGAGGAGTGGATCGGGGCGACAACGACGACGACGAACTGACTCCACGGTACGGCCAACTTGACATCGACAACTGAATGGTGAAAACACATGCTTCTCTCGCATTCTAGGCCTCACCATGGTATGACGCATTTTGACACAATACACTTTCCTTATCGCGCAGGCATTCGCGAGTACGTGCGCGCACGCGCGCGCGCGTGCGCCATATGAAAATCAGCTGGAAATGGCCAACTTAACTTCGAACTCGTTTTCATGTGATTGCTGTGGCTGATTTTCACATGGCGCACGCGTGCGCGCATGCGCCCGCGTACTACGCGGGCGAACACCTGCGCCACAATTCACCATACCGTGCTGAGGCCAAGACTGCGAATGAAACGATTGCTTTCCACCATTCGGTTTCGAAGTTAGATTGGTCATTCCCCCGTTGGGTCACCGACATGGACGACCGACAACAACGACGCCCGAGCGACGACGACGATCCACCGACGAAGCTGCGGATGCCCCTCAGCGCCCGAGCTCCGCGGCGCAGAACAATTCGGAGTTCTGTGCAGTGGCAGTCTGACACAACTGGGTCACGACACTCTAGTTTCAGAAGCACCCACCTGCATCGCAACACTGGACCCAAAGAGGTACGAACAAAGGCCGAAACGTGTCCGGAGCAAAGGACAGCAGAGGGTTTGAGGGAGGAGACTCGGCGTTTGCTGGTCTGACCTACTACTGCCAACAGGACAAAAATGTTCCAGAGTTGTCTCATCATGGGTAGCGTCGTGTAACGAACGGGGAGGAGGAGGAGGAGGAGGAGGAGGAGAAGGAAGAAGAAGAGGAGGCGGAGCGCGGCAAAAGGAGACACAAGCCGCTCCCCGCAGCCTCTTGCCATCCCCGTCTCACCCTCCCCTCCCTTCCCCGTTGTCCAACTAACGCTTCCCCATCGCCAGCTGCCATACCTTCTCCTCCCCATCCATCGTCCCCCGAGGACGGAACAACACAGACGAAGACGACGAAGAATACGACGACGGACG